CTGGGAAGTTCATCACATATATATAAATCATCTACACTTACTGTGGGGGGTGCAGACTCCGGATGGGCTTCTTCAGCCTATAAGGCCTGTTGTAGGCGAGCAGCCCCGATCCATATAATAATAAAGCCTATGAGGCCTACTGCATGTGGGCACTACCGTTTCATATAATAATAATATATATATAAAACCAATATGACCTACTGCAGGCGGGCAATCCTGATCCCATAACTATCCTCACAATGGATGAACATGACTGAATATGAAATATACATTTTTTTAAAACAATTAAATTCAATAGCAACACAACCCTAGGGGTCCCAAAATATCGACACGTAGCCTAAACATGATCTTTAATAAGAGTCTGAGATCAATTTCCTAACACGTGGAGAATATTAGGATAATAACATGATTCCTTAAATTTATAACTTCACAGAATTTATTTAAGTCACAATTTCTATGGTACACGCCCACACGCTCATCACCTAGAATGTGCGTCACCTTCTAACAATTTATATAACACCAAATTCGGGGATTCATACCCTCAGAACCAAGTTTAGAAATGTTACTTACCTCAAACCATGTAATTCTTTATTCCAATATGCCCTTGCCTTGCAAATCGGCCTCTGAACGCCTTTAATCTAGTCAAAATTAATTTGATTCAATCAACATAAATTATAGGATTTAATTCCATATAAAAATACTAATTTTTCCAACAAAATCTGAAATTGCACTCAAAATTTTTCCGTGGGCCCCACGTCTCGTAACCCGCAAAAAGTATAAACTATGAACGCCCATCCATCCACGAGTCCAACCAAATAAATTTCACCAAATTCCGACATCAACTCGACAATCAAATCTTCAATTAAAGTCTTGAATATTTCTACCATTTTCAACCCAATCTTCACCCATTTGAACTCAACAATCATTCCACAGGCCTTATTGGTACGTGTATGTATAAATAATAATCTCACACCCAAGAATCATACTCCCAATCACCCATCTTTATCCAAACTCAAAATTGAAGACTAGGGTTAGAAATTCTTACCTCTTTGAAGCCATATCAAGATCCTTGTGAAATCTTCAAACCTTGAACAAGAATTGATGGACAAATGACTAGGTCTTCACTTTCTCTCTCTAGGATGCTCTCACCTCTCTCTAAAATATCATATGAAACCCTTCAAAATGACCCCCAATGCCTTTTTATAAAAATGGGATCGGGTAAAACTTCCAAAACTTAAACTTGCCGAAACCGGGTCTGCATAATGGGTCGCAAAAAGGCCCTCCAGAACTGGGCAACACTGTTTCAATCTGCGGCCGTTATACGGTCTGCAGACCTATTCTGCTGTCGCATAATGCACCACAGAACTGGTCTGCAGTCACATAATGTGCAGCAAACCTTCCTCCAAACTTGCCCTACCTGTAATTCACTTTGCGGCCATTATGCGGTCTGTAAAGTGATTCTGTGACCGCATAGTGGGCCGCAGAAATGACTTTTTCCGGCAATAATTTTCTTTTACTCCCGGCTCATTGTTCAACCTAAAATGTCCAATCCGTGGCAAGCTTGCTCACCGTGAAGAATCTCTACAATTCTCAAACACGTAAGCCTAGTTCGGTACCACGAAACCTTAATTTCCTTACCAAAATTTTTCCGGGGTCGTTACACATAAGTCAACATCCGATCAGCCTTTTCAAATTTTGTTCTAAACCTTGGAACTAAGTGTTCCAAATCATTTCAAAACCTCATCGGACTCGAACCAATTACCTCGGCAAGTCAAATAACAACCATAAAGCACAATTTGAGAAGTAAATAAGGAGATGGGGTTGTAATACTCGAAACGACGGGCCCAGTCATTACACATTATTAAGGCCATTTTTCTTCTATAAATAACGAGGGTTTTGTTCATTTGTAAATATCTCTCACTTTCCTTCTTATCTCCTAAGGCATTTGAATCTTCTTTCTCTCATGTAGTATTTCACTTGTATTTTTGGAGTGAAATAAAGTTTGAGTTGATTGTGTCTCAAGACTAGGCAAAAATCAAATTTTGCTGAACCTCGTTAATTTCTGGTGTACTTTTTATTATTGTCTCATTTACTATGTATTAGCTACCTTTAGATATAGCAGTTGCGATTTAATCACTCTATCTATATTCGGCTTCTGCAATAATTGGTATCAGAGCCAAGGTTCTATCTGAGTATGCTCTGTGATTGCAGCATAGTCTGAACTTTNCGTTAACTTATATTTTGCAGAATTAATATTTACAAATACAGGAATATTGACCGGGAATAACAGTTATATATATGCTCTGATTTTACAAAGAGGTGACATCCATTCCAACAATTGAGCACAAAACTTAAAAAATAAGGATATTGGATAAAATCACAAAGATAAAGAGAGATTGGCAAAACTACTACCTAGGTATTGCTTCTGAAAAACTGTAAACATTTGTAAAGGCACCATACTGTCCATGGGTTGCAAAAACTGAAACTTTCTTCTCATTCTTCTCTCCAAGGAAAGAAGAATAGAAATCTGGAGGTGATTCGAACAGCATTTCACTTTTACTTCTGAAGTGATCAGTATTCTGCTTATACTTCTGTTCTTCTATTTCGTAACTTTCATCAGGTAGCTGGTCTCCTGAAAGTAGAATTGTCTTTTTATTCGACTCGAATTTATTATATATGTCTTTGTCATCATCATCAGTCGAATAACCATATTCTTGAATATCAAGCATAGCAAGATCATCATACTCTTCATCTGATTGGGTATAGTCCTCATCCACTGAGCCATCCAACTGTGAGGAAAGCTCCAAAAACTTTATTAGAAAAGAAGAGAGTCAAATTCTCTTCACCAGAGCCAGCTAAAAGTAATGAATAGTATAAATGGATAACAAAAACAATGATGATTCAGTTCACAAGTTAAAATCTATGGTTAGTTATTCACTAAGCCAGCCTGCCTGTTTAGTAATGAAACGGTATCGATGAAATATAGAATTTTTAATGAACATTCGCACATCATACCTCCCCCTCTATTTGTACGAAGCCATCATCAGTAAGATCCTCATCACTGTCTATCTCAGGTGGCTCATCTACCTCTTCATCATCATCACTACCATGTACAGATTGTTCCTCTTTGAGCTGCAATTAAAGCAGGAAAACATGAATGTAAGATACAATTCTTAAAACTAGAAGCATAATGTGCATATACGAATCTCGACCTGCCATGTTCACTAGATTCATGCTAAACTAACTGGTTAAAATGTTAAGACTACCCTAAGCAAAGTTTTAGTTATAACTAAGCTCATGCAAAAGCCACCATGATTTTGTGACATACCTCCTTCGCATGTCCTTCAGAAAACCTTGGAGAGGCGCAGCAAGAAGAAAAATACCTACTGCTATTGTCTGTCAGATCTCCCCTTGATTCATCAAAACTACCGGCGTGACTTATACCGCCACCAGTATCATTGAGCCAAGCACTAATCCCAAATTGGCCAAATTGCAGATTAATAGGTTCAGCTTTACCAATATGGAGTGGTCCATACACAGGTGTCGCTTTTCCATCAGCAAAGGAAGGGTCGAGAATAGTCTTTCCATCAATACCTAATGTGTAAACTGGCCAAGCCGTTGCTACCGATCCTTCATCATTCACAAGAGCCATCAACTGCCTAGAAGAACCTTGTCTCTGAATCAGTTGATACATCCCCTTAGAGCTAATGCAATTGGCGGCACACTGATTCCTGTATTCCTCATCAATGATGGAAGCTGTGTTGGTAATTGGATCATAAAGTTGTTCCCTTGCCTCTCGCCTCCGTAAGCAGCTGAAAACCGTCGCATGAATAGCGGCCACACTTTTATCAACATTGGTGTTATTAATCTTTGGCACCAAATGTTTATCAGCTCGGTTACAGAGGTATTCTTGTATTGTCCGAATGTTGCGTATATATTTAACGTACTTGTTTTTTGCAGGATCCAGAGTCATGTACTTTGCACGTACTGCAAACCGTTCTAAATGTTTCTCTTCATTCGCAATGTAGACCATAACAGGTATAATCGAGGGGTGCTTCTTCATTAGTCCCATCTGCAGGTAAAAAGCAAAGTGCAATCAACTTAGTTACTGTCTAAAGGAAAAACCGTTAAAGGATAAAAAGCCAAATACACAATTTTGAAATTAACTCTTACGACAAAGTTAAGGCTCAGATGAACGCCCTCCACGACCACTGATTCTTTCCCTTTTTCCCATGCAATGATTAATCGATCAAGGCTATCAATTACCATCTCACTCTGTGCCTTATATCCTTCAATTGCCATTTGTTTGGAACTAATCACATCAACCGCGCTTGATATAACCTCAAGAGGTGATTTTCCAACTGCCACACCATTTACACCATCTTTTTTTTGCAGTGGAGGGGTTGAAATACCAGCTAGCTTATTTGCTTTATGTTGTTTTGCCTTTGCTTCAGAAACAGCTATTGGATCCAAATATTCCCCAGCATGGTAGGTTGAAGCCCAAAGTAGAGGGTTTTGCTTTTCATCTACAAAACTCCTCATCATATGTCGGATGGAGTCAGTAGACACTACAGTTGTTATTCCCAATCTGCTTCCCTGTAAATATAATTGTAGAAGGGAACATGAACACAAGTCAGATAGGAATATCTATTCCTCAATCTGACATGCCAAACTTAAAAGGTAATTAGACAAATGCATCAGCATGAGAAAGAGATTCAAACACAAATGTCAAACGACAAGCATTCACATACAGGCTGGTTAGATGTGGCAACAAAGCTTTGTTTTATACCAATACCTAGATCTGGGTCTAAGTAAATGTGCCTACTCCAGCAACTCTAACTGTATTTCATAATTTACAACTTACAAGTAAGAATAAGAGGGAAACTAAGTAACCACATCACTTTCAATTACAGAAGTCAAAAAACGGAAACTCCAGATGACTCCAGCAAATGGTTATATCTCAATAGAGACATTTAAGTTTCATAGTTTCGGATGGTTATGACAGACTTAGGAGGAACACAAAGCTGGTTTTTAAAAAAAAAAAAAAAAAAAGAGAAGCTAGTAAAATAATACAGGATGAGTACAAAAGAAAACCAAAGTCTATCAAAGTAGTCATACCAGCAGCGCAGATAAGGTTGATTTTCCACAGCCACTAGTCCCGCATAATAGCACGGTAACAGAATCTTTTCTTTCCCGGATCCTGAAACATGTGAAGAAAAATATAGTAATACCACAACCGTCTACAGAAAATGCATGAAATTTCATTAATCGAGCATGAAATGTTGATTTACCTGCAAGCTAAAGCTAAGTCAGCTCTCTGGTTGGGTCCCATATATTTGTATTCAGTTAGAGCATTGCAAACGACATCAAGAAAAGTTTCTCTTCTGACAACCACGGTAGTCCGCTTTTTGTATAACTCAAATGGCTTGCTCTTACTTCTATCATCCACTTTATCTAAGCATGCATCAATATAGTTATTGGCCTCGTTCGGATAAAGTCCTTTTGAATCATCCTGTCTTGACAGCTCTCTATCCACCGGAACCAAATTATCGCCTATCCATTCACTTCTTATCAATTTAAAGACTACTCCGCTAATCTGATCATAGAAAATCAAAAGAAATCAGTTACATGAAAAAGCAGTAAATTTATATCAGTCGTAGAAAGTGAAATTGGAAGGTACATTGCTAATAATCTACTGCAGAAGAACAGTCAGTCAGTCAATAATTGAACCCTGGATTACAATCAACTGGCGGATTCACCAGCGCAAAAACCAGATGTTGCTAATCCTCAAAAGCAGAATACTTACATGAACGTCAGAATGGACATTTTATTGTCCTAATAAATACAACAATCGACTAGATACTTCTCAAGCATATGATCAAATAGAGCAAGAGTGGAGCCTAGGAGAAACCAATTTAACTAACAGTCTCAGATTCAGGAAAATAAAGAAGAAACCTTTTCAGTCTAAAATTTAGATGGCATACTCTATCCAAAAACAAAAACAAACACGAACTATGGAGCAGCATTGACGGTTAAAATAGTCAAAAATAAAAACTATGAATAGATAAAGAAGACTACTATTTCCGACCCCTTCTAACTTTGAATTAAAGTTAAGTAAACATAAAAGGATTCAGGCGGAGCCATGAGACAGTAGCGGATCAAAGAAGGAAACTCCATCTGAAAGATGTCACATTTAACAAATAGAGAAAAAGCTTAAATTCTATGCAACGACTATGTAACAAGTATTCCTAGTAAATTTCTATGATTAACATTAATTGGTAACTCGAAGGGATTAATTGGTAACTCGAAGGGGAACCTTGGCGTAACTGATAAAGTTACTGTCATGTGACCAGGATGGCGTAACTGATAAAGTTATTGCCATATGACCAGGAGGTCATGGTTTCGAACTGTGCAAAGGTAAGGCTGCGTACAATAGATCCTTGTGGTCTGGCCCTTCCCGGACCCCACGCATAGCGGGAGCTTAGTTAACATTAATTAGTAACTCGATAACAATGGCGACTGACATGTTATAATAGATAATAAACTATGTTAATTGTTAAAAAATCATTACACAGCATATAACTTAAATCCCTAAAAGAGCAAAGCAAAAAAGAGACAGCAAAGTACCTTAAACGCTTGTCGGGGTTTGCATCCCATAAGCTGCAGTGTGCTCTGAAGAACAGGACGCGTATACCTGAACGACTCTTTACCTTCCTCTCTTTTCTCCTCATCGTCTATTACTACTATATACAACAGCTTCGTCACCTCACCTGCCATTTCCTACAATAACATTAACAAAAATATAAATCGCTTATTCATAAACAGTTAAACTTGCAAACAATGGCTCTTCCAATACAGGTTACAAGTCTAAATAGAATTATTATATATACATATGAAAATGAATACAGTAATAAAAAAAAATCATCGTGTCTAAATATTGAATCTATCACTGAATGGGAAATTGATTGTCCACTCAAATAAGCATATTAAATACACAAATTCAAAAACAAAAAATCTAATTAAAAAATTTACATTGATCAATAATGTAACATTAGAAATGTAATTCTAAAAATAGAGGAATAATATACATTGATCAATGGGGTCGGTTTAAGAAAGATTGTAAGAGAAGGCAATGTGGAATATCAAACCTTTAGTCTTTAGGTGTTTTTTCAGCCGGAGAAGAACACAACAGTTTGGTAGAACAAGGAGCAAGCGTATAATATATATATATATATATATATATATATATATATATTCTTTTTCAGAGTTTAAATTACATACATGGAAATTAGATTACATAAATAATATATAAATTTTTAAGATTATAAATCTCATTCTTATAAAGTCTTTTTATGTAAATATGATGATGCAAAATTTTCTTTACGCGCACAATATGTAACTTAAATTATTATTTTTCTCAATAGACTCACGCCCTCTTTCCCCTCTCTAACTACTTTCTCTTCCTTTCCGCCAAGTAGGATGAATAACGGGATTTTGAGTTTTGACCAAATTATACGTCAAGTGGACGAGTTAGGCCAAATTTGAATAGGTAAAAGGAATTCAAAAACAGATTATAACCTAACAAACTCATCTAAATAAATATTCAAATTCTGGATAAAAGATAGATTTATTAATCTTGATTATGATTAAACAATAGATGGTAACTAATTAATCTATTTAACTTAAAACTGTTTTTTCATTTATTTGTTTGTTTATAATTTGTTCCATAACAAAATCAAAATAAAACCTTTTTTTTACATTCAGGAAAGTGGATGAACGCAAATTAATCCAAAAAAAAAAAAAAAGTTACTATTTCTGCCAAAGTTCTTATTAGTCAATTTGGACAACAATGTAGTTCAAATTGATTGAAGATCATAGTAGTCCAGACTGACTCAAAGGAGTTAATATAAATTGTGTTCAAATTAACGTATTAGCAAATGTCATTTCTAATCCAACCCGTTTAAACTTCTCACTATAATGTCACAAATTACTAATTACGGATTTGAAAAGGACTTCACAACAAATATGAAAACCTTTTCTTCAACGACTCCATTGCTTATTTGCAAATGGGGTAAAAACACATGGGAAATTTCCAACTATAGATATAGGGGGTACAAATGAAACCGACAAACCGCACCAATCTGATAATTTGAGTCAAACCGATCAAAAAAATCCGACTACGGTTTGGTTTGATTGGTTTGGTGTTGGAAAAAAAATCCGACGATATTTGGTTTGGTTTGGTTTGGTTTTAACTAAAAAAAAAAAGTCAAACCGAAACCAAACCAACCCGACATTATATGTATTGAAATTTTAAATATATTTAATACATGAAAATATTTATTGTAGTGTAGTTTATAAATATTTCTTAAGCTTTTTCATAATTTTATCTCTTAACGTATTATTTCAAGCTTGGACTTATAATTTTTGGATGCTCTAATAAGTTTTATAGTCCATAAATATTAGTAACTCAAATAAATCCTAAACCAAAATCAAATCAATACTAATGATAATAAAAAGCATTCAATTCAATTGCACTATGAATGAAAATAGTGTTTGATATCTATTTTTTAAATTTTTTCTATGGTTTAGATAAAATGTATAACTTATTTTTATTTAGGGTAAAATATGATATGGTACGTAGTCGTTTAAAGGGAGGACACATGAAACCCAAGATAGGGATGGCCGAAGACCGAACGCAGTCATTCCGCTTGTCACCGGAAAAGATAACGTTCATAAAGGCGTGTTAAATACTTTGCGCCCGGTAACATTTAATAGGGAATATTCTGCAGCATTAAGAGCGACGGTCCGTTACAAAGAATTTGGCATTTATGTTCGCCGTTACGTATTCATCAATGACCCTCAAAATTGACATTTAAGGAAAACATGATCCTAGGACTTCCTTCCCTAGAGATAGCTATAAATAGTGAGCTCAGTTATCATTGTATAGGACACGAATTTTCTGGCAAAACTTATACGATATTCTATACGAAACTTAATACAATCTTATTTTCTTACTTTTTGATCTCATCATTATTGTGCCCGGAAACTTCGTTCCCGGAATCGTCATCTCTGTTGTTTCGTCTATATTTCAAGGCTAAGTATTGTATATTTCTTCAATTATTGCATTATTTCAGGATCAAATTAATTCACTTATCTAGAAACCACGTATAAATTCAACTGTACTGTTTTACGGGTTAACAGTTTGGCGCCCACCGTGGGGCCTGGACATCCGTGCAATTAAATTGATCCTTACCTTTTTTACTAACGTGTTTTGATTACTTTATCTTAGAAAAAAATCACGAAAAATGGCAAATAACACTGTTAACGACACACACAACCTTGAAATTCGAGGGGATCAGCCTCATTTCGAGGATTCAATCAGTGACACCCGCAGTGAGGGGAATGACGCCATGCCGGTGCATGACAGGCAGTACCCTTGAAAGGTTCGGGAGATAACTCCCAATGATGCTGATGAGGAGTATGTAGCGGATGCGGTGAGGGTCCTGCAAGAGCAACAGGCAATTATTCTAGGCCATCTCACGTGACAGGATCAGGTTATGACGGAACTGAAGCAGGCGCTATCAGGTGCTTCGAATAATGCAAACAGACGAGATCCAATTCCTCCCGTTGTTCCCGCAGACCAAACAACGCAGAGAGTCGACAACAACACTCCCAGAGGTGAAGTTGGCTCCGACAGGGCTGTAGGGAGCAGATCCGGTCTCAACAATGATAACGATCCGTTCAAGGATGAACTTTTGCGGTTCATGAGAGAAGTAAACGCCCGCATAGATCAAATCTCGGGTGCGCCACTAGTATTGAAAGGCCCGAACTCGAAGAAGTATATTCAATTACTATAAAAGCCGAGTGCGGCACCAGAGCTAATCCCGAAGCAGTTCAAAATGCGTGAAATTCCAAAGTATGATGGAACTTCATACCCACAGGAACATATTACTACATATACAACGGCGTGTGAAAGGAAATGATTTAGCTCCTCACGAAATTGAATTTTTATTGCTAAAGAAATTTGGAGAAACACTCACGAGAGGAGCTCTAACGTGGTATTCATTATTACCCAAGCATTCCATAGATTCCTTCGAGATGCTCGCGGATTCTTTCATTAAGGCTCATGCCAGGGCCAAAAAAGTGCAAGCCCGGAAGGCCGACATATTTAGGATAGCACAGGGAGAATCTGAATTATTATGAGAGTTTATTACTCGATTCCAGAAAGAAAGAATGTTGCTCATGGCCGTCCCGGATGAATGGGAAGTTGAAGCATTCACCAGAGGATTGAATTCAAGAAGTTCAAATGCTTCCCGGAAGCTGAAGGAGAGCCTGCTTGAGTTTCAAGCAACAACTTGGGCAGATGTACACAACCGGTACGAGTCAAAGATAAGGATCGAAGATGACCAGGTCGGTTCTACATCATGGGCCAAAGGAGGGGAGAAAAGCATAGAAAAATCAAATGATGACTACGACGCGGATAGACGGACTTCGAGGAGCCGGTTTTTGCCCTACGAGCGGACCGAAGGCCGTGACAGAAACTTACTTGCAACGAACAAGTTCATCACTGACAAAAGCACCAATCGTGGTTGAAACAATAGATCACTCCGGGATAAGGAGACGTCGGGGACTCGGGATTTTTCTTACCCCAAGTTAACGGAATATAACTTCAACGTCAGTATAGTGGAGTTGGTGTCAGCTGTAATGACTCGACCAGTCATTTTAAGCTCTACCACATCATACAGTGGTTTGAGACCCTGAGCAGCTTCACTTCAGGTATTATGACTTGTACGCGTGATCGGAATTTAATTTCGAAAAGTTCGGAGTTGAATTGGAAGAAAATTCTAATTTCGGAAGCTTTAAGTTGGAAGAATTGACTAAGATTTGATTTTTGAGTACACGACCTAGGAATCAGGATTGGAAGGTTCCAAGAGGTTCGTATGATGATTTTGGACTTAGGCGTATGTTCGGATCGGGTTTTGGATGACTCAGAAGCATTTCAGCGCCCATTGTGGAAGATTGGCTTTTTGGAAGAATTTCATAAATTTGAGTTGAAGTACATTTCAATGGTATCGACATCCTTTTGGGATTCTGAGTCTGAGAATAGCTCCGTATGATAATTCCGGTCTTAGAAGCGCGTCCGGATGTGGATTTGGAGGTCTGTAGGTCATTTTGGGGTCATTTGGGCGAAAGTTGAAAATTTGGATAATTTTGAGAAGTTTGACCGGAGTGGACTTTTTGATATCGGGGTCGGATTCCGATTCCGGAAATTGGAGTAGGTCTGTAATGTCAGTTATGACTTGTGTGCAAACTTTGAGGTCAATCGGACGTGATTTGATATGTTTCGGCATCGAAGGTAGAAGTTTGAAGCTTCAAAGTTCATTGGGTTTGAATTGGAGGGTGATTCGTAGTTTTGATGTTGTTTGATGTGATTTGAAGGCTCGACTGAGTTCGTAATGTGTTTTGGGATGTGTTGGTATAGTAGGTTTAGGTCCCGAGGGCCTCGGGTAGATCCCGGATTGTTAACGGATCAATTTTTGGACTAAAGGAATGATGAGGCAGCTGGTAGCTGGTGTAACCGCACTTGCGAGGTTTTGGCCGCAGGTGCGGAGCCGCATAAGCAGCCATGAGGGGCGCAGGTGCGATTTTGGTTGAGCAGTGCTGAGACCGCAGATGCGGTTATCTCGCCGCAGAAGCGAGACCGCACCTGCGGAAGGGAAGGCGCAGAAGCGGAAGCAGCGGCTGGGGGGCATCTCCGCAGAAATGGAATAATTGCAGCACTTGCGGAACCGCAGAAGCGGTCAAGTGACCGCAGGAGCGGGAAGTCGGGCTGGGCAGTGTCATTTTAAAGACGAGATTTGGCCATTTTTCTCCATTTTTCTTTAGGATGGGCGATTTTTGGAGCTCTTGAAAGGGAGATTTTCGTCATCTATGTCAAGGTAAGTGATTCCCACCTATAGCAGGTTAAATACTTGGATTATACATGGATTTAGACTTGAAAATTTGTAGAAATTTAGGATTTTGGTAGAAAACCTAGAAATTGATATTTTTGAATTTTGACCACGAAATTGGACATGGAATTTGGAATAAATTATATATTTGAGTTCGTGGTATCATGGGTAAAGTTTATCTTTAAAAATTTTCAGAATCCGGGCACGTGGGCCCGAGGGTGATTTTTATCGACTTTTC